GGGGGGGGGCTTACATGACCAGTTAACTGAACCGGAGGCAAACTCAAAGTTTTGTGATCACCACTACGCAGGCCGTTGCGTTGCCTCGTTCAATAAACAGACACACTCCCGTCCGCGCCGTCTGCCAGCCCAGCCCGCTCGTTCGTACTTCGTGTCGGTTTTGTCTGCGCGCCCGGGCCCTGCCAGTCTGTTTGGAAAGGCTGATCAGGCCTGATTACACCGGAAACGCGACGGAACCCCCTGATCATGGAGAGGCTCAAGCTCAAGCAGGGCGGGATGTTGATTATTGGTTTAAACGTGTGCTGCGCTGCACCGAGATTGTTATTATTTTTCTGCCGTTTCTTTTCTCTTTTTATGCCACCTGCAGGAGGTGAATATAATGACAAATGAGGCTCACTCCGGCCTCTGGGTGCTGCTCGTGTCCCTTCCGTGGTTATTAATATTTTGTTTTCGACGCGCGTGAAAAGTTGTCCATTTGGCGTCGTCCGCTTGGCCAGCAACTTCTGTTTGGGCTGGAGCCCGCAGGCTCACCGAAGCCCATCAGGGGCCCCAGTCCCAGGAGGGCCGTCCGAAAAGAAGAAGAGGAGGAGGAAGTAAACCGCCTTGCCGGTCGCGCGGAAGGGACCCAGTCCTCCCGAGAGGGGAGAGGGGAGGAGGGGGGGCTGAATTGGCTGGGCCAGGTGAAGCAGCAGCAGTCAGCAGTGAAGGTGTTCTGCTGTTTCGCGTCAGTGACTGGCTGTTCCGCACGGCAGCTTCGCCTAGCTGCCCCACCCCACCTCCGCGCACCGCCTAGCGACGCCGCCACTCATCTCTTTCCCCTTCTTCTTCTTCTTCTTCTTCTTCTTCTTCTTCTTCTTCTTCTTCTTCTTCTTCTTCTTCTTCTTCTTCTTCTTCTTCTTCTTCTTCTTCGAAGGTGGCGGAAAAGTTATTAGTCGGATCACAAATCACGTTTGGGAGAAAAGGTGTTTGCGTTTGGTCGTTAAGGCGGCGTTAGCAGCCCGATGGCGGCGGGAGGAGGAGCGGCCGCGACTAGTACGCGTTGGTGATTGATCTCCGTCCGCACACCTCAGCGTGTGCTTCTGTTTCTTCACCCCAAACAGCAAGATGGGCTGCAATGTGATGCTCGCGCAATGATGGCATAACGCTGCAGGCCAGGCAATAAATAGATATACACCGCTATTCAAATCCGGTGACGTGACATTCTATAAAATGTGAATGTGTCACATTCTCCGTCCATGCATCGCTCTGTCCCCACGGGCTCAGTACATGGTAGGTGTACCTATGTCACGTTATAACGAATGTGTCATGGTATTTTATATAATGTGACACGATTCATATTGGAATGGGACGTCACAGTATTTGAATAACTGTGTAAACAATGAATGAATGGTTGGTTTGCATTATAAACCGAATGGATGAATGAATTGATGAATAAATTGGTGAATAAATGAATGGATTCATGATTTAATGCATAATTGAATTAATGGACGAATGATTTGATGAATGAATTAATCAATGTATGATTTAAAATAATCAATTGATTTACTCATCAATTGCATTGATGAATGAATCAATGAATGGGTGAATGAATGAATGGATGAATGGATGAATCAACGAATGAATGGATGGATGAATCAATGAATGGATGAATCAATCAATCAATCAATGGATGCATAAATCAATGACCCAACGGATGAATAGTGCGATAAATTGATGAATGGAGCGATGATTAAATGGATAAATTCGACGCATGCATAAAATTGGAAGCATAAATTGCATGCATTAACTAATATGTGGTATGGTTGTCAATTGGAAAAACGGTAAAAAACAAAGGCCTGCTCTTTTTTTTAGAAAAAGGGGAAAATTTTGGGAACTTGCATAGTTTAAGAAACTTTTATCTTTAAAGGATGTCTTCTCAAAAAAAATAATCATGAAAACTTCCACATTTTTTGAGGAGATTTCCTCTTCTAAAAAAAAACAAAAAAAAACAGACTTTTTTTTTACCACGATAAATTGGATGTATGCGAATGCATTGGTCGCATGAATGAATTTGAAACCATGAATGATTTGGAAGCATGAATAATTGGATGAGTAGTATGTGTGCGTAGACGAATGAGTGTATGAATGCGTGGATGGATTATTAATTAGATGCTATTAACAATATGTGGCGCTGTTGCTGGCGCCTCCTTCCTAGGACGGGTCGGTCCGGTCCAGCGCCGCCCGGTAGAGCGGCAATTAATTGAACGTCCTCGGTAATTAAAGTTGGGTAAATTACAGCCGTACGCCCGGGCGTGTACGTGGTGCGGTTGGTGTGCTGGGTGTGCGGTGCGCATTTGGAGGCGGAGCGGGGCGGGGCGGGCGTGGGAAGTGGGGTCATGTTTTGGGGCGGAACGCTCACCGCGGATCATGCGTGTGGGCGGGCCGCT